AGAGGGGGTTGTGTTCTTCTCGAGGCCCCTAAGGGCCCGACGCGCGGCGTGATAGCTCGGAAGCGAGCTTTGTCTCTCCCTCTCTGGGGCTCGGTGCACACTGACTAAACCGAGTGGCCACTCGGTGGCCACTCGCCGAGTGGCCACTCGGTGAACGACCCGCACCACTGGGGATCAGAGGGGGTTGTGTTCTTCTCGAGGCCCCTAAGGGCCCGACGCGCGGCGTGATAGCTCGGAAGCGAGCTTTGTCTCTCCCTCTCTGGGGCTCGGTCCGCACACTGACTAAACCGAGTGGCCACTCGGTGGCCACTCGCCGAGTGGCCACTCGGTGAACGACCCGCACCACTGGGGATCAGAGGGGGTTGTGTTCTTCTCGAGGCCCCTAAGGGCCCGACGCGCGGCGTGATAGCTCGGAAGCGAGCTTTGTCTCTCCCTCTCTGGTGCTCGGTGCACACTGACTAAACCGAGTGGCCACTCGGTGGCCACTCGCCGAGTGGCCACTCGGTGAACGACCCGCACCACTGGGGATCAGAGGGGGTTGTGTTCTTCTCGAGGCCCCTAAGGGCCCGACGCGCGGCGTGATAGCTCGGAAGCGAGCTTTGTCTCTCCCTCTCTGGGGCTCGGTGCACACTGACTAAACCGAGTGGCCACTCGGTGGCCACTCGCCGAGTGGCCACTCGGTGAACGACCCGCACCACTGGGGATCAGAGGGGGTTGTGTTCTTCTCGAGGCCCCTAAGGGCCCGACGCGCGGCGTGATAGCTCGGAAGCGAGCTTTGTCTCTCCCTCTCTGGGGCTCGGTCCGCACACTGACTAAACCGAGTGGCCACTCGGTGGCCACTCGCCGAGTGGCCACTCGGTGAACGACCCGCACCACTGGGGATCAGAGGGGGTTGTGTTCTTCTCGAGGCCCCTAAGGGCCCGACGCGCGGCGTGATAGCTCGGAAGCGAGCTTTGTCTCTCCCTCTCTGGTGCTCGGTGCACACTGACTAAACCGAGTGGCCACTCGGTGGCCACTCGCCGAGTGGCCACTCGGTGAACGACCCGCACCACTGGGGATCAGAGGGGGTTGTGTTCTTCTCGAGGCCCCCTTCTTCTCCCGCTGCCAAGCGATGTCGATTGTCGTGAATGGTTTCCAGCACTCATAAGTAGTTCTTAGATTCTTCTAACATCGTTTCCTCAGGGTCAGGCTGTTCCTCGGCTGCATGCGCCAGGATGCTCGTCCACACTTCTTGCCATCTGGGTGGGCGGCAGTGTGGTCCACCCCTGCCGCCCCGATTTCCGAAGTATGCCATCAATTTTAGTTGCCCGCGGTTAAATAAAAAGGGTGTGGATGCTGAGAACGCTAAGGCCTAAGCGATCTCGCTGGGTTGACGGAAATCGGGGGACGCGACCCACTTCGCCACAGACGGTCCCGCGCCTCGCCGCTAAGTTTGCGGCACGCCCCGCACCGTCCGCTGTGCAGCGTTT